GAAATCCCCCTCCCCTTTTATTTTTGACCGTGACAGCGTGACCTTGGTCTTGAAACAAGGCTGATGCTCAGAAATTCGTAAATGGGGGAAAATATAGATTTAAAATCAATTTTTATTTGTTTAAAAAAGGGGTTTTAGTGGAAGATGGTGTTTCCTCTCTATGAATGCTTTCTGAAATGCTTTTTATTCTTGCATGGTCTCTAAACAAAGCTTTTCTTCCCAAAATCATGTCTTGACCAATTGCCTGGTGCGAACTTCAGCATACTGTGGTCCCTGAAATGAAACGTATTTTTAGGTCTCTACAGATTTATGGCTTTTGCCTGCAGCATTGCATGGGCCATTTGTCATGAGTGAATATAAGCATGTGTGTACATTGCTGAGAGGATGGATCCTTGGCATAGGGCCCTCCTCGCTGTAATTGTCATTCTTTTCTCCATCGTGAGCATTTCTCTTCCAGGGCTGAGCCGGAGCAATTGCAAAATTCACAAAACATGGTTACACAGAGCAGGCCCTCAGCCAAAAGCCAGCATTTTAGCTGCCCTGGTTTTGAGAAGCTGAGCTCCCTCAGTGCCTATTGATCTAATTTTGGCCATAGGTTCTTCAGCTTGCAACATGTTTCCACGTACCCGATTTGCACAATGTTGGCAAAACAGAGTTTTTTGTGGAGTTTTCTGTTTGATTGAAAAACCAGGCTGCTGCGTCTGCCTCTGTGAGAGCCATAACATTCTTAGCCTTACGGTAAATGTCAGCTTCGGAAAACATGGGTGTGCAAATATCAGTCTTCCAAATCCTAGGAGCTAGAAATGAAATCTGACCTCTGAGGATAAGCAAACTAAACTGTTGCAATTAATTCCTTTCTGTTTGTAACCAGAGTCGTTCTTGTAATCTAGTGGGAAATCGCTCAAGTGACAATCAATTTACAGTGTTCGGTTTATACCACTAAATGTTTCAAGGCTGATTTTGTTACATCGGTTGAAAATTAAATAACATTTGAGTTAGAGAACGGTCCTGTTGAAATCGTAGGAGCTCGCATGTTGCTCAAATAAAGAGGGTTTTTGGAGCCTGCTCCTGAGGGTTGCTTTTTGTGGTAAAAAAGTCATTAAGAATGAGCTTTGTTTTTACAGTAACTTCATTCATGCCAACACCACATCTAGTAAATATTTATTCAAGGGATTTAACACCTTTGTTTTTGCTGTTAAGAGATCAAAATGTTGGCATGAAGGCAGACTAAGTAAACATAATCATATGTCCCACTGACTGGCTGTGTTCTAAAATGGTTTTGCCAAAATCCAGAGCGAAATGCCTGTCGTGCTGCAAGATGTGTTTCTTATCAATGCTGTGCTTTCACTGTGTGTGCCTCCTGCGATAGTCCTAACTTTATGCTACTCCTTTTGGGGCGTGTGCACGTGTATCTCGCTGGAAACTGGCAGATACTGACTATATTGATGAACAAGACAGAACTTACTGTACCTTATGTTTATTTTTAATAGGGAGGAATAAGCCAGAACAGGAAATGTACAGCTTTAAAATAAAACTATAGAGCTTCTCTGATTATTTTTCTTGTAGGTAGCAAAACAGAAGACCAGTAGCAAAGTTACTCTAAATGGCTCAAAGTTTCCTCTTTTCACTGAATTTGTAAGCCACAGCCCACATGAGCTTGCAGTGGGGAGGCTGAATGAGCCTTCTCAGACACGTTTTTTTTTTTCCCCTTGGTTTCTTAATATGCGTTTGACTTCTCTTTCTTTCTTTCTAGGGGGAGCTGGAAAAACTAAATCAATCTACAGACGATATCAATCGGAGAGAGACAGAGCTAGAGGTACAGAATTCACCCTTGCATTTTCCTTTTGTGCGTGTTAGATTTTCTGAGTAATGGGGCAGTATTTCTGAGTAGATTCCCTTCTGAATTGTGCTGTCCTGAATGGTAACTAGGCAGCAAGTGTCTGGTGGTGATTTTGTAAAGGTGTGAATTGAGCTAACTGGAACAGAAGGGGAGAAGGTAGAAGGATGCTGACAGTTTAAAAACCCTATGTGGAGAACCCCACCTCTCCATTGCAAACCCTATTTTTAGGTTTTGAAACCAAACTTAGATGAGTTCTGTTTTTACAAGTCACCATTTTGGGTTTGTGTTCTTGTGATTATAGACAGTGAAAGTTCATTTGGTTAAGAAGTCTTCGCCATATAATTACCTGCCGGGATCTCCTCCTTGGTGGCTATTTTTTTTAGCTCGTTAGTTTTGTCTTTTTTGTCATTACTTTTTGAGTGAGGAAAGTAATGAAGGAGAGTTAAAGGAAAAGACTTCCTAGCTGGAGAAAGGTTTTCTTGGACACTTAAAAATCTAGCAGAAATTTCTGAAGAAGTTGTTTCTAAAGCCCCAGATTTGAGCTTCAGCTGCTTGGTAGTTGTTCAGGAAGGATCAGCATTATTGATCCAACAACAAATCAGAACAAACTGTCCTGCTTGTGTGTCTGTGTTTTCCTTTGTTAATTGCAGCACAAAGAAGACAAAGCCAGTGAAAGTGCAAGATGAATATGCTGCTAAAGGAAAACTGGCATAAAAATGCTACTTTACATCCTAAAGAATTTTGATAACGTTACAATATTCTGCATATCATACCAAAACATCCTGAGATTGCAGTGGTGAACATACTCAGAGTACATCTATAGGTTTCTGTTCTGTGTCTTCAGAATGTCAGTTTGATATTTTTTTTTTCCCCTTGTACATGTGTTTTCATGGGATGGTTCCTGGTAGTATTTTAAAATATTGGAGTATCTCTATGCACCAAACAGAATACAGGGTTATGAACTTGATTGGAAACAAAGCACCGTTGTCATAGGGTGGTTATTGTCTTCTCCCTGCTTGTTTGCATTTTCTGTGCTTTGTGGCATGTAGATCATGAATTTATTGGCAAATAATCTTAGTGGAATGGGGGACTATTTGTTATGCAAAATTAAACTATATTTCAGCTGTGAAAACTGTTCAGTGTCACCAGCTTGATTTAGATGTTATGAGTGAGCTTTAAAAATCAGTATGCTAGTCTGCAACTGTACCAATTAAATGGACTTCAGGACTACTTATATACATATATTGAAAAAAATCATTATATATGTATCTTTTCCATCTCCTTATTTCACGCTGAGGTACTGAAATTGAAAGATGGTGCTATGCATAGTTGCCTGGATTTCATTAATCTTGTCATAACCTTGCACTGAGGACATATTATGAAGCAGATAGACTAGTAATAATAATGCAAATGCATACTCATGAAATAAGTCCCAATGCCTTGAGATGGGATTTTACTGCTTGATTAAAATTATTTGGGTGTTTAAGTGTTTGTAGAGCCTGGAGATTTGTAGCTCCTATGTGTGCGACACGTGCTGAGCTTGAAAGGCTGAAAGGCTCCTGGATATATCACTGTAAATAAAAAAGCAGTGTTTCACATTAGCTTGCTCTCAACATTGTTGCTTACCTTACTTAGTTGAAGAGATACTAGATGTCAGATAGTGCAGAGAATGATTATATGATGCTTTCTACCTCTCTGTCATTAAATGTTTACTGCAGACCTGTCTGTAGTACTTACTGTAAGCAGTGTTTGATGGCATTAATTTGAAATATCATCAACAGTGTGCTTTCATGAATGTTTCCTCTTCGTCTTTCACGTGAAAATCTTACTAGATAGAAGCCAGTTTGTGGTATCATGCAACTACATAATTTTTATTCCAGAAAGATTTTAATTACTTTTGATCTGCTTAAATTTTGAGGGCAAATGCAGTCGGATGATGTAAGCAAGGCTTAATCTATATACATGTTGATAAATGCATTTTAAATGGATTTAAGACCTTTCTAGAGGAAAGATACTAAAAAAAACCCCAAAACCCGACACTGGTGGTTAGAAGAAAATCCCTGCATTCATACCGTAGACAAGAAAAGAAAGCTTTGCCAAGCAGCCTGATGGACTAAATCCAAAGTTTGGAAGGGGGAGTTGAGAACTGGGATCAGTCTGCTTCAAAGACTTCCAAAACCCTTGAAAGCTGCTGAAAATGTGGGCTTCTGGGAGAGCCACGCTGACTTTGCCTTTGAAGATTTGCTATTTTGGCTGTTATTCACTGCTTTGGGTCCCTCTTCTATCCCTGCCTAGTTTGTGGTGTTGCTGCTATTGCACGATACTTCATTAGAAGAAAGACGTGGATTTATTTTTCTTAACCAAACAATGGAGTTATATTTATCCTATTATTCTATTATTATTTTCTTAATCTTTTCAATATCTGACCATAGTTGACTTAAATGGGAACACAGGTGGTATCATTAGGTTATTTACAGCACAAGACACTGATTGCCAGCATCCTGTAGCATTACTTTGTGGTCCATACATTTCCACTGTTGATTTCCCCCCTCCCCCCCAGAATAATCTGGAAAAGCAAGTGGAGCGTTTGAGTAGAAAGTATATTTCTTTTGAAGGAAGTTCAGAAAAAGACAGGCCTGTTTTTGTGACTTGATGTACTCTCTGATAAGCAGGAAGAGTAACCTTGTGGCATCTAAGTACTGTGAGTCTGTTCTGGACTTCCTGTGGCTCTGAACGGGGGCTGCTGGCTGTCTCCAGTTCCCTGTAACTGGAAAAAAAAGTCTGTAGAATGAAATTAAAGATGCTGCTTTACCCAATGGAGATGCTGTGAGGCTGAAATCAGTAGAGGATTCTAGGATTCTGAGACTGCTCTCTTGGCGTAGCTCCAGATGTATCTGTGTCTGAACAATGTAAATACTGATGTTTGCTGCTCACAGAGGTGATAAAATGGAGAATTCTGTTTTAAGTTAATTGGCTTGCCATTTTTTATTATTATTTTTTTTTAAAGTTCTGCACTCAGACTGCAATGTGATCTGTTTTAAGTTGATCAGTCTGACTTTTTTTTTTTAAAATCTTCTGAAGTAAGTTCTGCTCCCAAGGCACCCCTCTGTGAGGGGTGGATTTACATGTGTGGCATGACTTGAACAGATACATTGCTACGTCTCTTCTTTTACTTGATATAATTACTCAGTTTTTACTCTTTTGACCTATCCTATTAAACTCTGGAGAAGTATCCTGACCTGATGATGCTCACAGCCTGTTCAGGAGCTGCGGAGCTGCTAAAGGGCACTGAGTGGCTGGTAGTTATATGTTGCGTTAATATATTGCCTGTTAATGAATCTTTGATTAGGCTTGATTTAAAATCCATAATGCTGCTCCTACTAAGTGCAACATGGAACATTACTGACACAGCAAAAAGATGGTAAGGGTCCTCTGAGGGATTTAACACTTGGCTTTGCTCACGTCCCTATTTATGTTTGAAGTGTCTGCAAAGAGCTGGGGGAAACATCTTGCTGTGGAGATACAAGAATGTTTTGGCCAAACGCGAGTTAGAGTGGCGCCTTGCTATTTGAGCTTTTTTCCTGTTTATTGAAAGTGCATCTCTATCTGAACTCACAGCAGGGGTTGCAGATGTACTTAACAAATGTGCATGACCTGCCTGTCCAGCTAACTCATACGCATCTTTGACCAGCTCCTGCAAGTACAATTTGGAAGTAAAAAATTCACCCAGGGACCCTCCGGCAGTGTTGTGGGGAGGGGGAATACAGCACATACCATTAAAATGACCACTGGCATCCCAGCTATCCCAAATGTGGTTTTTATTAGAGAGAGTTTTTGTGTTGCTGGAGCTACGAAGGAGCTTGCCAATGTTTATTAAGGGGAGATGACTGCACATGAAAACCAGAGCCGAACAATGCTGCTCTCTGCCATGCTTGTTATTAGTGGGGCCTGGTTAGGATCCTTCTTGTATGCTTTCCTAGATCCTCTAGTCCTGGTCTAGTCCTAAGATCTTGTGTTACTTTTAGTCCTGGGTTTATCCTGAAGGTCACCCTGGGTTGGTGTTGAATAGAGTCAGAGGAAAGGGGTGTATCAGCTGTGGTGCTCTTTCACTTGTGAGACTTGTCAGCATTTGAAGCCCTCTCACAGAAGGGGAAGGGCTATTGTTGCTGCTCCCACATCCTCACTAAAATACTTGGGGTTTGGGTAAAACTCAAGCTTTTGAACCTGTCACACACAAGAATTTTAAGTAAATTTAAAAATGAAATCCTTAATATTTCAAGTTTTAGAAGAATGGCCTGTCAGTGGCAGGAATCTCCTTCTAAGCACGCCTACTTGGCCTGAGGAAACATCTATCTGTAGAAACATCCACCGCCTTATCAGCATCCCTGTGCAGCCTTTTCCAGTGTCCACAAAAGAGTGCACAGATAAAGGAGAAGCAGCTCACTGGCTGCTGCTCCTGCTGGTTTTCGGAGTGCAATAAACACGCATAATGGATTTGTCCACCACTGGCAGGACAAATCTTTCCATGTCTCTTTACAATCTAGTTGTTCCCATAGGAAGTGGCTCCTGCGTGCAGATTGTGTGTCGAGCTGCTTGTTTTCCCTTCTACTTTCATCCATGGATGAGTAAGGAAAGGCTCCTTCCTCTGCTGTGGCTCTGGAAAGAGTTTGTTGCCCAAGTGAGTCAAAGGGCTTTGCTTGAATCACGTTCTTGAAGCAGAGATGGGTTTCTGGCTTAAGGGAGGGAGAAAGGGTTAGCAGAGAAATCTGGTTTGGAAGGAGTACCCAGTGCCTCCCCCTGCCTGCTTTCATCTCTGTTCTTCTAGGATGACTATAAATACCAGTGTAGTTGTAGCCTCAGTCTGTAACTGTCTGCAAGCAGGAGGTTAGAGCGACTTTCAAATACCAATTGTTCTTGGATGGCAAATTAGAAGCTGTGTGCAAAAAAAGACTTTCCTCGATGCTTAAAAATTGAGATGTTACTTAACTACTCCTTTGCACTTCATTTTTAAGGTTTGGTAGTCAGGCTGGTTTACTTGAACTGCTCAGGTACCAAATAGGTGTTAAAAATGTCATTAATTTGTTCGATGTTCTGAGGTAGATTTCTGAGCACATGCGTGTGCACCTGATGTACACATAATTAGGAAACCTACCTGCTTCCTACACTTGAACACTCTTGATACCGATGCTGTTTTAACTTGGAAGTGAGCTTTTGCAGCTGGTAGGTCTCTAGCAGAGGAAAGCAGGTGTGGATACTGCCTGCCTCTTGGAAATAGATGAAGCCTTCTCTGTCAGCAATTAAATTTCCCCTGCACCTCCCAGGCTGCTTTAATGGGTTTTGTTGGAGGTTCTGCCCACCAAATTGGCAGAAAAGTCATAGGACAACCTTTGCAAATGAAATTTAGATGTGCTTGGTACTAAAATGCTTGGTACATGGTTGATGTGTTAAGTTCCTTTTAAAAAGAGAATTGTTTTGAGAATACACACTTCATTTGATGGGCAGAAATAGTTATTTGCCTGTCATCTGGCACCTAACACCAGCTCATCACCATCACTCATGAGAAAGGATAAAGCATGACTGTTTTTCTCCAACAGGTGTAGTGCAAAATTGTATTTTAGTTCCTTTCTACAGTTGAGGGTGTGTCTCTAAAATGCTGCTGTATCAATGGCCTGTGGTCACCTGTGGTCCCTCTTTTGCTGCCTTAGATAGTTGCCCAACAGCAAGTTATTGGAAACAGAGTCTGCTTTTAATCGTGAACTATTGCAGCAAAAGCATATATGGGCTAGAAGTCTGGCATGCTCTCTAAAACTGTGCTTGTGAAATCTGAGGATTTGAGAGAAAAGTGCTGAGCATTTCCAGGAAGAAAGTTAGTGGGAGTGAAGCTCTTGCAGCCATAGAACAAGATGCTGAAAAGTAACCTGCAGCACTGAGAGCTGTGCTTGCTGGAGGATGTGTATGACAAACAGGTACTGAAAGTCTAGGTATTAAGACCATAACTTAAGGAAGAAGTTTCGACTGCTATTTTTCTTGTTCACCATGTGACACACATTGAGGTTAAAGTGCCTTAATCGGCTTTTGTCCAGCTTTAAAAGGGTTTATCATCATCTCATTTGAACAAATAGGAGGGAGAAAATGTTGAAAGTGTTAGGCAGTCAGCTTTAAATATCAACTTTCTGTTTGCAAAATCAGTAATAAGGTGTTCTTAAAAATTATCATAGAAGATTATGACCGAGCAGAGGGGGAAATGTACTTTTAAAATGTTGCTTGAGATGTCATTTGTCCATTGCATTGCTTCTGTTACAGTTTATGTGGTCTGTGTATGTATTTACTACAGTGATGAGGAACAAACCCATGTGTTTTTTTCCAAAAAAACCCCAGAAATGGTGACTGGAACTCACAGGGTTTATATCTAAGGCTGCATACTTGCTTTGATCAATAAATAGCCTTTCTGCTTGGAAAACATCATCTTTCAATGAGCTGCAACACAGAGACTAAAAATTGAGGACTGTGCTGGAAAAGTTGCATGGTATATGATGCGGTGCCTCAGTTTTGCTCACAGCAGCACGTTGTGGGAATTGTGATCTTTTCCTTTCTCTGCTATCCATGTGTGGTAGATAAAGGTCTGAATGAGGCAAGGATTTGGCAGTTAAATTATAACACTTGTAGGGAGGCACATCACACTGTGGGATTTGATAACTAAGTTGGAGGTGGCGTGGTTGTCTTCCTGACAGGGGCTGGGGTCCGTGGATGAACTGCACTGCTGTGCTGCTCCTCAGCCTCTGAAGTTTTTGATGAGTGTTCTTACAGAAAACACCATTAAGAGGATTGATAGCTTTGAACCACTTAACGTGTGGGTCACGGTGTCTCGCAGACAGTAACGCAGGAAGCTGGCCATAGAGCAGGAGATTAAATTGATTCCCAAGGTATTGCCTTGACCACAGGCCCAACCTTCCCATGAACCACAGATGCACTTTTCGAGTCATATAAGTAGCAAATGCACCAAAATCAGTGCTGCTGGTGCTTCTGACCTCCTCAGTTTGACATAAAGAGTAAAAATAGCTGCTGCACCTGTATTTCTTATTGAGACCTCCCTGGGGGCACCTGCCAGGAGAATTTTGCTCTATCCTAAAGGTGATAACTTTTACAGACATGGCCTGGCTGATGCACTGAGCTGATGCATTGAAAGTGGCTGGATGTTTGAGGAGAGAGCTGTGCCCCTGCTCGTGGGAGATGTTGCTACAGTGCAGGAGAGGGCATGGGTTTGGCATTTTCTCAGAGACCTCAGCATCTTGTTGCTATGTCTGAAAGGAATGACTGGAAACCTTTTTGTAGGGGAACTGATTGCAGCAGAGTACAAGCATCTGCTTATTCTCTCATGCAGAAGGTGGTGGAGCCTGCAGGCTTGTGTTTCTGACAGCCAGGAGCCTGAGAATAAATGTCATTTAGAATACATCATGTGGATGGATGTGACGGGTGTAAAGTTCTGCAGTGTTTGGGTTTCCGTTACTGTTCTTCACTGGGAAAAACGAGGATGATGGGACCAAAATAAAGGCTCAAAATAGGAAGCAGGCATCTTTTGGGGAAAACATAAACTGGAAGTTGACATCAGTGTGTTCTCCAGCTGAAGCTCCCTATCCTGTGTCAGTAGCTGCTGTGTGGAGTGGGGCTGTGCTCCTGGCTAAACACATACTTAAGCATTTACAGGACCTATAACAGTGTCTGTTACAAGCTCAGTTACAGTTTAGTAATATCTGTAGTCTTCATCTGAGTTGGTGGGAGATTCATGGGTACAGAAGTTGGTGTTATCTTGACTGCTCTGTCTTTGAGTGTTTTTTGTTTTGTTTTTCTCTAGGTGGAGCCTACTCCTCTTTTTCCTATTAGATAAGAGTGTACGTAATTGTTACATGAATAAATTTGGGGTAGGTCTCTAAGCAGAGATTTGGTAGCAATAACACAAAGTTGCTGCTGACGGTTGCTTTGTTCCAAGTACTTGTCTTACAAACATAGGAACTGAATTTTTGATGAATCACCACACAGGGCTTTTTTTACTTAGTGAATATACATGTTTCTCTTTAACTATTTGCTTTCCACAATTAGTATTCAGATTTGCAGCTTTCACAAAGGAGGTGGAAAAACAAACCTTCAGGCTCACTCATTTAGAAACAAGTTTTTAATTTTGTTCCTGCATTTGTAGGAAAATAGTATTTTGAGAAATGTAGTTCAGTACTTAACGTTTTTCTTGCAATACAGTCATCATGCTTGCAGTCTTATTTCAGTTGCTTGTGAAACTCCTTTTGAGCAGTGAACCATGTATCGGCCCATACTTTAATTGGAAATATTCAAATTCTTCTCTGTGAGAAAATCACTGACTCGGTACATACTGCTTGAATTATACATTTCAGGCTTTTACTAAAAAATGAGATTATTGACTGGATTTGAGTTAATAAAATAATAAATTAATGTGCTTTTAATTCTCCATTTTTGACCTTGTTACCTGTTTGAATACTTCCTTAGAATAAATTGGAGTACCTTAAGAATCTAAAGCTATTTTCATTGGATTAAAATATCACTGACACTGGTTAAGGCTTTAAATAACACTAAAAAGGAAGTAAGGAAGCTTTTAGTGAAGTATGTTGCTTTTCCTGTAAAAATGAATGTATTATTGCTTTTTTTCCCCCCACTTCTGAGAGCATAATGGTAGGTTCCAATGTATTTTGGTTCTTGCAATGCATAAACAGTTGTGCATTCTAGAAATCCTCAATAATAATTGCAAAAACCTTCTGTATTAGAGCACTTCTTCAAGCCAGCTGCTTCCTGATAATCAAAATGTTGCTGCAGCAGCCTGCGTAAATCCTGCTCTCGAATTAGAATGACGAGGCTTGTTAAGAGCTCACTTGGCCCTTCCTCTTCGTCTCCTTAAATCCTGGGCCAGATTCGAGCCTGAATTTGCATCTCTGCAGTAATTCCACTGATTTAGAATCTGGGTTGGATGCTGAGGTGGAAATCAGGATCACTTTGCCTACTTAAAGGTGTGGAAATTTCAGTGGAGCAAAGAAGGTATTTTGATTGCTTCAGCTAATCATGTAAAGAGGCCGACTGATCCAATTTGGAGGTAGCTGATACTTACTTTTCTTAAATGTAGTAAATAGTAACAATTAAATGTTGATGTCCGTACCCACTGATACAAACCATAGCTGAAAAGATGGGCTTTCTTTGGCTGGCAGTCTTACAGCAAGGACCTGGAAGCTTTTTGCTGCTATTTAAGCAAGTAGGGCGTGTTTATAGAAGGAAAGAGGAGCTGACTTGAAAATAAACCATGTGGAAAGTGTCCAGTTCTTCCTGCAGAAAGCAGATCCTGGCCATCCTCATTCATGTTGTGACATGGTGTCTCTGAGGGGAACAGCGCTAGGGATGGGCCTTGCTAAGGTTTGGCAGGTGCTGGTTCCAATTGATTTGCCAGCCCCTGTTCTAGCATTGTCTAAATGAGATGTCTTTGCCACTGAACTCCCTCTCAGAACTTGTTACGCTGCTGTTTGCCTCCCCACTGAGTCATTCACAAGCCATTCCTCACTGAGAAACCCTGCTAGAGGTGACATCTAGCACAGGCTATTGCAGGCTTTGCATAAAAGCTGTCTCTGGAAGACAAAGATTTGGTGTCCAGGATGCCAGCTTCTGCATGTGGTTCTGGGTTCCTGTTATTACCTCTGCTGAGGAATTCTGGCTTAGTCCAAATGATAGTAACTCTTTCGAATGTATCAGCTGATGTGTGAATCTAAAGAGCAAACTGAAGTCAGAAACAAACAGGTAGAAATAAATGCTAAAGCGCTAATCTGTCTTTGTCCTTTCTTTCCTTTCTGCGACATTTTTAAGGATGCGCGCCAGAAGTTCCGCTCCGTGCTGGTTGAAGCAACAGTAAAACTGGATGAACTGGTAAAGAAGATTGGGAAAGCTGTAGAAGACTCTAAACCTTACTGGGAAGCTCGGAGGGTGGCCAGGCAGGTGAGAACTTTATACCTTGCAAGCTTGTGCTGGCGGTTGGAGAGCACGTGCTGATTGCATTGCTTTCCAGCTATTAATAACATCTTAAGCATCTGCATTTGGCTGACACTGGTCTGTGTCTTGAGTTGCATGTCAGCCGTGTGAATCAATGGCAAAAAAAGTGTTTATTCACAGCCACAGCTGCACATGTTCTTCAGTCCAGAAACAGCTACAGCAGACACAAACTATCAATAGCAAAAGACTAGTTCTGTTCTCCTTTCATTATCAGTGGCCTTTCAGAGCCTGCTCTTTCCTATCAGTGGTTGTAATTGTTTGAAAATACAGTGTAGTCTTCGTGTATCTCCTTTTTCTTCTTAAAGCAAAATGCTCAGCAGCTAAATGGCTGCAACTGGAAGATGCTGGGAAAGAGGCTGATGTGAGGCAGATATGGGGAAACCTGCAGGGTTTGGTCCTGATTAGGTTGTGCTGAAGCAGGCATGTGTTAAAGGTGGCTCTAAAGTGTGTTGGTTTGGGGAGAAACTGAGCTCTGCTTCCTATAGCTGAGCGTTGAGAGTGTGGTGGCTTAGGCAGTGCTTTTGCTTGGTGTCTGTAATGGGTTTTGCTGGCATCTGAGGCTTTTTGATTTTTCCTCAAGGGGAGAGGCTGTTCCTAGGTGCTACTTCTATTTTCTCTCGAGGCAGGGAGAGGCAGAAGTAGAGGTAGAGTTGCCTAGAGCTGCTGCTTCTGTGCTCAGTGGGAAGGATGTGTGGGGTGGCATCCCTGGCTGGGTAGGCAGGATGTGATTGTGTTCAAGGGGAGTGTGAGAGATAGAGTAGCATGTGTGGACTACATGAAAATTACAGAAGGATTTTGTTTGTAAAAATAGATAGAGGATGAGAAGGGTAGCGTAGGTGTATGTCAGAAGGCAGAAAGTGAACTTGCAAGGTAAGAGGAGGAGAGAGAGGAGTGTACATCCTCAGAACGAGGCACAGGAAAGGGAGGCATGAATGCAAGCTTCATCCCTTTGAAGCTGATGAAGCGGGAATTGAGTTGATGGGGATAATGTGTGACTGTGTTGATCCTTTAAATTGCATGGCATTGTTTTGGAGCCATGGTCTCAGGCAGTGGGGATGATGTGTGGGGTTATTAGGCTTTATCCCAGAAAGGTGGCAAATAGGTAAACTCTGCTTCAATGCACAGTGAGTGTGGTATCTACTGCTCATCTGGAACTGCTCCAAAAGCAATCTCTACTCATGGGGCTTTTGGCATGTGCTAGAGATAAATCAGTAGTGACCTAGAGAAAGAGAAGTTAGTACCAAAATAAGATCAAGGAATTGTTTGTATTGTGTTCATTAGTATGTGCAATTCAAAAATTAAAAATCCCCCAAACCCCGCCTCGAGTATCACCTTATACTTCTCTTTCTATAAATAACCATGTATGGCACAGTAGGCATAGAGTTATACTTGGAAAAGTCGATGGTAGGAATGCGTACTCTGCAGTACAAAAACATCAGATGACACTGAAGTTTGTAGCATCAGGCCCTGAGAGCAGTGAACTTTGTCCTCTGTCCTGAAGCTGGCAGCAGATCATGTCCTGAAAAAGAAGTTTTTGTTATTCCTGCGTCTTTGCTGCCCTGAAATCTATTCAGTCCTGCTGGTTCAAAGGTGCTTTGCAAAAGCACTAAAAAAACCAAAACCACTTAAGGTCCTCAGATTTGTGAAACCACTGTTTCAGTATTGGCCTTGTTAGGGAGAACTATACTTTTCTCCTAATCCATTCTGTCATTGGCTAGGTTTCAATGCTATTTATCCCAGATCTGCTGATTTGCTACACACTCAATTTTCTTTTAATTTCTTTATAGCTGCTTTTGTTGTTTTTTTTTGTTGTTGGTTTTTTTTTTTTAAAGTAGGGATTCCCCTTCTACCTGTTCATTTAACTTTTCTTTTTCCATTTTGTGTTACGAAGCCAGTCATGGAACATAGCTCCCTTTTTTGTATCTGCTCAGTAAACAGAGCTGGGATGGTCTCTGGTTTCCCTTTGGCTCTTTATCTAATAGTATCTTGAAATAGGAAACGTGAGTGGAAACCAGGAGATTGGAAAAATTGGTACCAGTCATCAGCAAAGCATCTGCATAAAGAGTTTTGCTAGACTTAATTTAGTCTAGAAAAGTTCCATTTAACTTGGAGCACATTGCTATATTAAAGCAGGGGGAAGGGGTGAATGGGTAAGGAAATATGAAACTGGAGGAATATACTAGAATATTAATATGTTTAGGTGCCAGCCCGCATCTTTCTTTTATACTTCGTTTTGAAAAATTGTAGAGAAATTATGGGAATAGCTTGATATTTTTCCATTCAAATTCATAAAAACATCCAGCCTGTGAAGACTGTCTTCCAACTTCTGTCTTCAGTTATTTTAGAGCCATTAGGCTGCCTCTGAAAACACAGGCGCAAGGTTCTTGATGGTTGAAACAGCTTTAATTGAACAGTAAGGGAAAAACGCATGGCTGTGCTTGTAAGAGAAAAGGAAGTGTAAATTCTCATTTGTTCTCAGTAAAGGGAAGTAAAAATATGACCTATAAATTGAAGTCTTCTGAGAATGAAGAACTGCATAATTAATGACATCTAGTTTGACAGAAATGCAGTTGTCCAGAGTTACTTGCATTTAAGATGTCAGTAGGGCAAGTTGGCTGATGCAAGCTGCATTTAGTCATACCGAGGAGCCTGCTTTCCCTTGGCACAAGCATGATTCTCTTCTGGAAATATCTGTTTCATCTTTTAAGATAAAACCCATTAAAATGGTATGGGGGCGCTGATGTGTGGTCAGCAAAAACCAGGTCTCTGAGTCAAGTACTTGGAGAAGCTTTAGCACCTTGAGCCCTTTTGTCTCCTTACCCTTATCCCCATCTTGTGCAATCCTGTCTTGGCAGAAGGTGGTGAATTCAAAACAAATTAATTCTCCCATGCAAGAGTCCTGTCGCATCTTGTTTGTGTAACGCATGCCAAGAGGATTTCAGTGAGGCCTATCTCAGGGAGAAACTGCGGTAACAGAACAGTGGTCCCTTAGTGTTGGAATTTGAGTGCTTTGCTCTCTGAGGTGGTGACACAGGGAATTGGGATGCTGTCTGTTGGCACCAAAGCAGCAATATCCAGCTTTTGCTGAGGCTGAAGTGAGAGCTGGCTGATATTCTTGCTCCTGCAGGTTTCATGCAACTTCTGCCAAGGCACCTTTGTTGTGATTCCTCATTGGTATACCAGTGGGCCTTTAGTGTTGATTGCAGGGGTACCTTGTTGGTTTGGAGCATTTTGATCCAATTTGGTTATTTAATCAAATTTTAATGTATTTCTGCCGCAAGAACTTCTTTGCATTTAGCATATTCTCTTTTCATGTTATTCTTTAACTTACACCATAGAGCACAGGTTCAGTGGAAGACCTCTGCATGTAGCTGAGGATTGTGTATGAATACAAGCAATGATCATGTTGCAGAAATACAGAAGTCCTATAATCCAGAAGGTGGCCCAGGTTCTAAGTGTTGGGAAGATCAGTCTTCCCATGTCTGTATTATCTTTTTTGGGGAGTTATTTTCCTAGTAATCTGCTTCCCTGGTTATCTAGCTGGAGAATTAGATTTTTCTTGCCCGAAGGTAATGGGGAAGAAGGGTGAAGTTGCCAGGAAACATTAATAATGTAAACAACAGTGTAGGTCTTGAGCCTCTGAGGTAAGGAGTGTCTCAAGCCACTGTTGACTTAGCATTTTGCAGGGCTGGGGCTGGAGAGGGCCTACGCAACAGCGTCCGAGTTGGAGAAGTGTGTTACCTCCTCAGTGACAGCATGCCCTGGGACAGGATGCTGTGCAAAAAGCCTGCGTGGTCCTATTGCATCAATCACTGGGCTGGTAGGAGCTGATTTTGTGCTGCTGCATGACGTAGATAAATTACTTCATCTGTCTCTTGGTTCCCATGTAAAATGGAGCTGTCAAGCTGCTGTGAATTTGAGTTCATTAAGGAAAGTAAAAGCTCTTTGGGGTCATGGGGTGAGAGGTGACTTATCTGTATGTCGTCACTTGTGAACCCAGGGACAAACTAAACAGGACTTGCTTTTCTGCTTTGCTTCTGCTAGGAAAAACAAAAAAATCTGATAAAAACATGTTCTCATGCACCTCCACAAATTAAACAATCCATGCATTTGTAGTGACCCTAACCCGAACAAAAGCCCTGAGAGTCCCCAGTACTGGCTTAGATTGGGAGTGAGTGCAGATGCTTTGCTCAGCTGAGCTTATTTGGGAGGGATGTGGTTTTGCTTTGTGATATTCCTCTTAACCTCTCCCCAACCCTGTGTCATTTAGCTTGTACAGAAGAGTGTCAGAAAACTTGCTTTAGGTGAAAATAGATGAAAGATCTATGCTAGGTCATATCTATACATACCTCTCACTAAGGGACCCATCTGCAGCAAGTGAGAGGAGAGCAATATGTTGAAGGGTATGCATATTTTCTGCTTCCTCTTGGGTTACTCTTCCTGGCTCAGTTTTACAACCAACTCTTCTTTTCATATTGTTGGCATACTTTCTTAAGCAGCATCCTTTTATCTCAAAAGACTCGGAAAACCATGCTGGAATCGCTATGTTCAATGGTTCTTCCCTGCTGAAGTCTGGGCGTACCTAAGGGGAAATGCAATTGACAGACCAAGTAGACTGTGTTCAGCAG